GTTTAGGTGATTTTCACCTACCATTTCATTTGCTTGTGCAACTTGTTGCTGCATTTATTAAATCTGTGGATGTGAGCATTTCGTGTTGAAAGATGGATTATCTGAAACTGTGGTTGGTTATTTACCATTTGGCTAGAATATGTCCATTACTTTCGCTAGCCGTGCTCCGTTTCTTCTCCTGGCTTGAGAGGAACCCTCTCGAGGAGCGCGCTGATGCAAACGATGCTCCGTGAATGACTTGTCTTCGTTCTAGATCTGCAGCACTGAAGTTCGTTGCTTCCATCGTTGGATACGAAGGCAGAGGAAGTCTGGTAGCGTATCTCCGCAAGTTGTAAGGCTTTCTGGCACCGAGGCCAATTCAGTAGAATCTCGTGACATCGCTAATATATGATTTCGATTACTTCCAGGAATCTGGCAGTGGAATTGAATGCTGGTTGTGCGGTTAACGATAACGCTGATCACAACCAAATGACCAGTATCTTTGGCATTAGCGTGGAGCTCTCCGAACTGGGTCGTGCAGCTCCCATCACGGTGAGCTAGTGAGGTGACCTTTTTATAACTTTTGGAGGATGTCTATCCAGCAATGTAGGGTTCACTAGATAGTCGCAGGATGAGTCGCTTCTTACGTAGCCGACTGGGGTCAGACCCCCACCGCTGTAGGCGAAGTAAATGTCGAGGACTGTTCAACGTGTTGCCTACTACATGGAAGAGTGATATGGGGGCACTTTCGATTTACGAACTACTCTATTGACCACTGCGGTATTGTCCAACCGTCTGTCTTATTTATTTCCCCTACTAGACATATGATCGTAATTTACATTCGCAATTTATTGAAAAGCAGCACCACCAACTTATATGTCTTGCTCTACCTCTGTGAAGGGCTGGAGACTGACAGTATTATGAATGCTTTGTGGTGCAAAGGTTTTTTTAGTTGGTCTTACCAGGAGGTAGTATCGTATATGTGAACAGAGTGATGCCCTTTTGGGAATGCTGCTAAATGGTCAAATTATTTCACAAAAGCATTCACGAAGTATACTAAACCGTTGTCCCTCTGACACGTACTAGGTTTTCCAGTGGCTCTACGTCTAGGGTCTGAAATGCAGTCTCACCTATTTTACAAGAGAATTGGAATCGCAGTGATTTGGTGTACTGTTTGTTGTTGGTGGAAGGGACAATAGTCATTTTTATTTCTCTTTACGACGCTAGAAATTTTTGTGCAACTTAGGACGCAAACTGAATTGGCTAATATGACGATGCTGGATTTGTCAAGTTGCGGACCATAGGTTGGTGCTGGGTGATGTATACTGCTGTTGCTTCTCTAGGTGGTCGATCATGTCTTCTCCTACCTGCGCATGCTACGCAATGCCGCTGATTTCAGTCTAGCTAATCCGTCGGCCACCGCAACACCCTGGGGGGATCGCACCTTCGCCTCCCTCGTGCCCGAGTTTGAGAAGATCTGGGCATCGAATTTCCACTTCCAGGAGCCTCTGGAGCCCCTCACTAACGTACAGACGATCGCCATGGCGATGCAAAAGTTCCCGCCCCATGAAGTCTTTATCGCTGATTCGCTGATTTTGGAGCCTGATTTGAAGGTATGCTTATGGAATTTTTGAGCCCTCCCAGTCCTGATTGCAATGCTTACCCCTTCTTTGCTACTTCGACATGTTTTAAGCGGGGTCGTTCAATTCGAAATTCGATTTTTTGCGAGTGGAAAGACATGAATGAATTTCAACAATTGTTTGTTTATTTGGTTCTTGATTTGTTTTCTTGTATAGTTCTCCATTACGTCTATACCATTGCTGGCATGTTTCCACACCTTGGACACTCGTTTGGATTCCCAAATAAAATGCTTTGTCTGGATTTTTGCTAGTGTGTGGTGATGCAATTTCGGGAATTCTGGCCTTGTGAAAACACCTTTTCAACTCCATGGAATGTTCAACTCGTTCGCTCTGGTAATATGAGTAAAGCTGGCTTCGTTCACATCGTGGGCTAACTTGTCAAAGGTGGCGATATTTGTGAATGCCTGTGCTGTGTTCGTAGTTTGCCTATTTTGTGCGTTTTTGTGACAGATTTGGTGTCTATTATCACTGTTCCTAGGGAACCCTTTTCTTGCGTTAAACGTGTCTTAAGCTAGTAGACAAGCTCGCATACTTGAAATTGGCAGTGGAAGTTGCCTGAACACTCAGCCAAAGTGCCTGGTTGGAAATTGGATGGGATTGTCGCCTTCGCTCACTGTTTTGAAGTGAAGTCTGAGGGCTGAGGTTTTTTTTTCTGTTCTTCTGTTAGCCGTTTCTCCATTTTTATCAAGGATGACTTTTTTGTTCAGATGTGCGTCGTTCTTCCCCGTTTGCCTGCCTATCATCTGGATGCACTTGGTTTTGGCGCTTGTTTTTGCTCACTTCCACAGAAATGATTTCGTGATAATAGATGGTGTGTGTCCTCTTTTATTGAATCGGCTTTGACGGCGACCGGTTGATTCCCAACTCGTGATCCAAAAATCTTTAAATTACTGGGTAAGGCGCTAGTTCGACAGCTTTGTTTGTGGTTGGTCCAGCACTAGAGTTTTGGAGGTAGACACTTGACTACTGATTTGGCTTTTGAAGGAAAGACGTTTTCGAATGGCTCCCCTATTTTCAGTTCTTTATTTACGAACAGTACATCTATCTTTAGTTTGCGATGAGCTTTGTCTAAGCAGAGAATTAAGTTGTTTGAGGAATAGGTTATTACGGTAGGTTGGAGCTATTTTCCTTTGGAAAAGTTTGCATCTTTTTTGTTCACCTTCTCTTCCGTTGCCATTTTGATGCTTTTAAGTCGTAGAATCTCTCGTAGATTCGGTTGTGTCCCAAGAGATCTGGTGGAAGTCATATACTGCGTTTTTTCTGGCTTTCACTGGAAATCTTTCTGGGACCTATGCATACTTGATGGTGCTTGTAGCTTGTTCACTTCTAGCCTCATGCGCCGTCTGTAGATATTTTGTTAGCACCGGTTTTAGATAAGTTTTTGTACTCAGTCACCTGTCGATAGGGGAAGGGTGAAATTGATGATAGTACAAGTATTGATGTTATTGGCGGAACAGCAAATCATTCGCATTCTTTGCTCAGTTTGTTTTCGACACTCTGTTGGCGAGCTTGAAGGAAGCGAGAAAGTACACGCGTGCGACTTAGCATTCGTGATGCAGCAGGTGCGTATAGTCTGCCTAACACACTTGCTATCAAAGGGTGTGGAATGATAAATGAGCACCACCACTAACAAGACACGTTCTTTTTAAGGTGCTATTGTGCAGGGATCCACCAACTGCTGCATTCTACGCCTCTTACTGCTTGTGTTCAGCTAGGCAGTTAATACCTCACGTATTCGTGACATTGGTAGCAGCCGTTTTAGTTCTTTGCATGTTTAAAAGTAACGTTGGTTTGGCACAAGTAGGCGTAGTATGAAATCCAATTGTTCAGTTTATTTGCATACGTGAGACCTTCGGTAATTTTTTATTTCGACGAATAGCCCTTTTATCTCAGCCCGATTTCTATCGAAAAAGGGAACGAGGTTTACCGAATTTTCCCTCTTATTTCATTCTCATATTTGGTTTCCTATTCTCACGTCCTTTCTTAAAGACCATTGCTTCTTTTCGGACCATAATGGGTAACTAAAGGGAGAAGCACCCTCCTTAGACTCTACAAATTCCATTATTTACAATGGAACCCTTTACTTGCTAGTGTATTCAGGCATAAGTATTCTTCAGGGCACCGGAAGAAACAAAATATGTCAATATAGAAATATTAGATGATCAAAAAGGCTTGTGTGGTTTTCGATGTGCTTCATTGTCTGCCTAACGGACTTCCGAAGCTGTGAAAGCTAATCTTTTAACACATTTGTTAAAAATGTATTATCAGAACGGAAGGTATCGGGCAGAAGTGCTTTGGGAAGATTTGATTCCGGTATTGTATCGCGCAAAGGTGCATGAGGAAGACCCTCTCCTTGTGTTGATGAATAATTGCATGTTGCTAGTGATTCAAATGAATGAAGCTTAACGTGTGTATGACGGACTGCAGATACAGTTGTTTACAAACTGAGGGCGAAACTCACCTTAGGGCTGAGACCTGTCCATCTGGTAAAACTCGAGAGTGTAAAAGAAAATTTTTTTACAGAAATTGAAAAAGTGAATCAGTCGGAGGAAATTACTGCTGCATTCCAGAAGGAGGGCAAAGCAGGAGCTGACGCCGCCGTGAAATTTACTTCATGTCTTACTGCATCTTGCACATTTCCATGCTATTCCATACAGTGAATTGCCAGGAGATTTGAACCTTATTTAGGCAATATTGTTTGGGGCGTTAAAATCGAGGTAAAATCGGCGGTAATTGTGGCCAAATTGTCTGCCTTCAAAGAAACAATATTTTATGAGTGAAATTAGTAGATATCCGCTTATCCATTAAACTAGCAGCAGGAATTCTAGCCTTTCGTAGATAATGACTTTGGCCATTTCCGTAAAAGAATTTGTTTCTAGTGCACATTTAACCAAGGGTAATATGCCGATTTTTCTTTCAACGCAGACCTACGTCGATGTGGTG